TCCCCCACTAGGGATTGAGCCCAAAACTCAGGCATGTGCCCAGACTGGGAATCGAACCATGACCTCTTGGTTCATAGGTCGACACTCAACCACGGAACCACCATGGCCAGGCAGATGATAAGCTTTTAACATAAATTTGTAACAAGCACATTTTCCTTTTCTGATTTACTTATACTCTAGAGCCAGACCTCTTTCGGGTCATTTCCAAATCTATTATGATTAGCTCTGTGTTCTTCCGTAGATTACTAACCTGTCTGTGCTTCAGTTTCCTAAAGTGTGACAGGAGATAATACTAATAGGACCAAATACATTAGCATCTATAAAAGAATTAGAACATCGCTGGCTCATAATAAGTACTATGTATTAGTTACTATTATCATTACTGCTGAACATTTCAATTAATCTATTTTATACGTTTTAAAAGTGTAGGCCTCTTGTTCTTTGCCTGAATATCCCCCCCACCCCCACTCTTTTCCTGGCTAATTATCCTTCAAGTTTCAGCCCAATGTATAATAGAGAAAAGTTAGAACAACCTGAATGGACTGACCTAAGTAGCATAACGGTTAAAGATACATTTTGGCATAAAATTTTGGTATATCCATGCAATGAAATATCATGCATGCTGATTTGGAATCACTCCAAGTTGACACCTCATTCCTAAAAAGCAGACAAGAGACCTGCACTTTTAAGGAATGACATGGCATTCAGAGGGCTGAGTCTTGATTTCCAGGAATTTAAGTTTTTAATGACAGGGAAGAATATAAAGTAACAATATTAAAATATATTAGCTCAAGAAAGACTATTAAGTATCATTCATAAAATGCAAAACTACATACAGAATGCTGGGTAATTTTTGCTTTCTTATGATTTCCTATATTTTCTAAATTTTGTACAGTTATCATGTATATTTGCTATTGAAAACAAAGCAAACTAATAAAAATGTTTACATGCCATTTTGGGGAAGCCTTTTTGAACACTCACCACTTTCCAAAGGGGAGGGGGTGTGAAGTGCTTCCTGGTGCCTGACATAGGGCCTGTCCCATAGCAGGTACTCAGTAAAGTGCTACTGGTTTATTTTCCTCTCTGGCTGGATGTTCCAGCCTGGAAAGAGATAGAAACAGGCATAAAAGCGTTGTTTGAAGGAAGTAAGATGCTTCATCAAGAATACCGAAGGTTTTTTAGAACCTGTTGCTGCCTTCCACTCTTGATTGCAAAAGAGCAGGCTGTGGTGGGTGTCGAAGGCCCTTTCCACTTTCAGAAGAGTGGGGCTGGCTGGCTGAGGGGTGGAGTGTGGCCGCCCTGATGCATTGCTTCAACTTAGTTTACTCTCCTCCAGACCCCATCTTGAGCCCTGCACTTTGGATAATGGTGTCCTTGTTTCTACAATCCCATTCCCTCCAAGTGACTTGGCAACCATATTGGCAAAACCAAAGAATTTACTTCTTCTTTGTTTATTATGTTGGCAAAGTGACCATGTATTCCATCTTGCTATGGATTTCCAGTCTCCTGAGTTGCTTGTAAGGGATTCTCTAGTTCTAGGCATTCTACCTTGTTGTGACTAATGCTCTTGGCCCCAACACTCAATGGTCTCCCCAGCACTCGTGCATCTCAGCACTCTTTCTAAGAGAACACAGATCGTCAAGATTGTCACCTCTGTTTCCTGCTCCTCAGCAGCTTTGCAGTCTCTTCTGAGAAGCTGATACCTTCAGAGATTCCCTACCTGTGCCATCTCAGAGGGTCACACCTGTACAGGAAGTTGGTCCTCTATGGACCTGTGGTCCTACCACACATCCTGTGTGACCTTGATCCAGTCTTTTAACTACTTTAGGTTTTGTTATCTAGATTGGTATCTGATAAAACCATGGACTTGGATATCCTGGGGGAAATGAAAAGTACCAGGGCCTTTGAAAGGTCAGGGGTTGCCAGTCCCGCCTGCAGCTTACAGAGACTGGGAGGACAAGTGACAAAACTGATGTGAAAGTGCCCAGAATGGAGCTATGAGCACAGTGCCAGTTAAGGTTACAGAAGGAGAAAGCTCTGTTCCCATAAGTGAGGGGAAGTGAAAGGTTTCCCTGCAACAAGAGAGCGGGTGACCCACTGAATGCATTTGGAGCTCCCTGGAGCCATGATGGACTCCTGCTATAATTTCTCACACCCCTGAGCTGGAAAGAGTGAGTTCTAAAATAGTAACCCCTAAGTAAAACCACTGGGTGTGTGGGTTGAGGGCAGGCAGGGGAAGAAGGGGAATTATCACCCCATCAGGGCCGGGGAATCACATTTTGAGTAGAATGCCCACTTCATTCTTACTTCACTTAAATGGAGTTCACATCCTGAGTCCATGTTACCTATCACACCCCCTCCCATTAAAACTGGTAGTTTGGGCTGCTTCTGGACATTTATTAAACAAGTATTTATTGAACACCTATTGAGTGCACAGAGATAGGCATAACATATATTCTGCACCAGGGGGCTCACTCTCCAGTGGGGAGGTGATCAAATAGATATGTTTCAGGTGATATGATGGTGGTAGCTCAGGAGCTGTAGGAGCACAGAGGGAGGTGCAGAATTCAGTTGGAGGAGAGGCCAGGGAAGGTTCTCTAGAGAAGATGAGCACTTTCCTGTTGTGCACCCGAGAGGCATTTGCTATCATTCTCTGTCACCTATTGTTTAGAAATGGCCTCAATGGGTAAATCTTGGTGGCCATATTGATTTAGCTAAACATATTAACATGCCTTCGTGCTCTTGGTGTTGAATTTCTCTGTTTCTCTGTGAACACAACATTATTGTTGGGACCTTCATGAACAAAACATTTTTCCTCCATGAGCCAAAGATCAAATCAAGGCTAAGAAGCAAATGCCAACAAACTCATTGTGTGGCTCCGTGCAGACTCATCACCCATTCTTATCTATCACCGTTCTCCTAATGCCCCAGAGTATCTTCAAGGTCCCTCCACAGCTTGAAGATCGGCACACCCCACTCATTTAGACAGAGGTCTCCACAGCAAGGGCTCCTCCTCAGCACACAGTGGGGTTCAGGCTTGATTTGGAACTATGCGTCGACAGCCAAGGGAAGCTCTGGCATTTTGTTTCTACCTCTGATGTGACACTTACTTTATTCCATCTCATGGGATAGTTATTTCTGTCACTGTCAACACCATCACTAGACTAAGAGCTCTTTGAGGGGAGGGATGGGACTTCATTCTGCTCTGCCTTCCCTGACAAAAAGCGGATGACTTCTAAACTGGGTTGAATGGAAATGGAATGGATAACAAAGTCTGTGTAGATCCCAAGGAACACAAGACACACCCTCTTTCCCTTAAAGTAATGTCCTTGATACATGAAGATGAAACCCCACCAACCAGGAGAGACCATGAGAGATACTGGCATATGTGATATGAGGGATTTCAGAACATTAGAGCTGGGGGTAGGGGCCTTGGTAAAGATCAGAATATTTGAAGCAAGACTTGCACAAAGAAAAGGGTAAGGATAGAAAAAGTTGAGGAAAGAGGAACAGTTTGTATGTGTGTGGGTTGCGGTGTGTGTAGGTGATGGTGGAGGCAGTGATGCGAGGTCGGATGACATTGTGCTTTATTTAGTGACTCTGAAGTACCCCAAGATGCTGCTCTGCCCCCCGCCTATCCCACACCTCTACAGCACCCAGGGGGCCTGGTTTCCTGTTTTCACTCTTCATTCTTCTTTCTCGGAGCAGAGGCAGGTAGCAATGTGGAGCTGGGGTGAGCAGGTGGGTCAGAGCGGTTGGAAGGTAAATAGAGATATTGATCCACTCGTCCTAATTCCCTCACTTGCCCTCTGCATGTGCTACTGTGTTCCTGGCCTTGGTGAACTTCACCTAATCACCTTCAGGTCACTTCAGGCCTCAGGACTGCAGTCCTCCCAGAAAGCAGCTAGAGGACCAGGCAGAGCTTTATATGAATACAAGGGATCCCCTATGGATGGCTGAGAAACACCCACATGCTTAGATTACATGTTTTATCCATAACATAGGTAAATTCATTGCTAGGTACATCCAATCCCATTTATATATTAGAGGAACATTATTTTTTCTTTTTCAATTTCAGTTGACATTCAGTATTTTATATTCATTTCAGATGTACAGCATAGTGGTTATATATGTGTGTGTGTGTGTATATATATATATATATATATAAAATTTACAAAAGTAAAAAAAGATGAAGGGATAAAAGGTACAAATTGGCAGTTACAAAATAGTCATGGGGATGTAAAGTATAGCATGGAGAATTAGTCAATAATATTGTAATAACTATACATGTCTCAAGTGGGTACTAGACTTATTGGGGTGATCACTTCGTAAATTATGGAGGAACATTCTTTATGTGGGTTTTCCAAACTTGATTCTTACTTATTTCTCTCCTTTTCTATTATGGGTCCAAGTGAACATACTGGAATCTTTGCTTCTGTTTCCTTCTGTCCCCTCTTTGTTCTAGGACAGACTGACCCAAACTCCTGTCCTGAATTCAGCCCTAATAAGATGGTTCTTTGTGTGTACCATAGTCCCTGGTGGGCAATAACTTCTCCCTTTGTGTTCACATTCAATATTTGCGACAACAGGGTGAAAAGTAAGTGGATTTTAGAGTCAGAAGAATCTCATTTCAATCTTGGCACTGCCACTTAAGATTGTGGCCTTGAAATTATCAGTGAACTCTCCTCTGTTCTTCGATCTTTATTGCCTCCGGGAAATAATCACACACCTGCTCAGGTCAAGGTAGGATTTGATGTTATGTGTATAAGGCAGCTTGCCCAGTGCCTGTTCGATAAGTAGATCAGTGTCCTGCTGGGCCCTTCTGCACATTCCATGCTGAACTCTTTATACCCAAAGAAACATATAGGCACTAGGGTGACTCAGCCCTGCAGGAGGTCCAAAAATCTGACATGGAGTTGTAGTTCCCCTTTCCTTTTTGGGGCCAGGCTTATGGCAACTCTAGAAAGACTGACATGAAGCTTCTGGAGGTGACAACCACCAAGAACAGCATGGTTGTCGTGTCTAAAGTCCTTCTCACAGGTGTGAATGCTGCACCCTTCCTCTCGGGTTTACAATTCTCTCCTTGGTCTTGGTCACTGCCGTTGGTGTACCACTTCCCTCAAGGGTGCAGCCCACTTCTCCCCTCCACCTCCTCCTCCTTTCCACCGTGATGACATCGCCCCGGGGAAGAGAAGCTGTGCAGAGCTCCTCACTCTCAGCTACTTCAGTTTCCGTATCGGCACCATGACATCATCTCTACCCTGGAAATTCCACTTGCCCTCCTATGCTCCCACCTCTGTCCCAGTCCTCAGAGTTCCTATAAAGAGGGGATCCCAGCTCAGCATCAGCACAGAACACAGTCGAGTTCTGAAGCTTCTGGGTTCTTCAGTCTCAGCTCCAGGAAAGCCTCTTCTCTGCCAAGACCATGAAGCTCTGTGTGACTGTCCTCTCTCTCCTCGTGCTAGCGGCGGCCTTCTGCTCTCCAGTGCTCTCAGCACCAAGTAAGTCCGTTATTCCAGCTACTGCTTCTAGAGCCATAGTGTAGGGAGCCTACTTTTCTAGTTGGGGCTGGTCCAACAGTGGCATCTGGGGGTGGGACAAAAGGGCGCTGGGGAGATTTTTAAGTAGTCTGCTGTTAAATGTAGTGTCTACTAGACATTTGGTAACATTCTAGTTTCTGTTTTCTTAAGAAACAGTAACCAGTAGACCTGTTCAAGAAAGTCCCCGTCTCTCTCTGTGTCTTGGTTTCTCATCTGTTAAATGGAGTTAGATGTGTGCTCTGAGACCCAATCCAGCTCCATTATCTTCTCTTAGGATCCTATGTTCAGAAAAAGACTCCCACTCTGGGTGGATGGGATTAGACAAGGGACCATATTTGGGCTCTCATAGCTCCACAGAGATGCCCCATGAATATCCATAACTAAAAGCCAAAGGAGCAGCGTCTTGTAGAGCTTTGATCTCACCTCGGCCTTCCTTTCCAGTGGGTTCCGACCCTCCCACTGCCTGCTGCTTCTCCTACATCCTCCGGAAACTTCCTCGGGACTTTGTGATGGATTACTATGAGACCAGCAGCCTTTGCTCCCAGCCCGCTGTGGTGTGAGTATCAACTTCTGGTCTTCTCTGGAAAGCAAGGGCAGGGCAGGGCGAGGATCAAACAGGAGGGAGACAGGCCTGAGGGCTGCAGCCCCCCAGAAAGTCATAAGGAACAAGGTCATGAAGTCACTTGCTGAATCCGGGAGGGGGCTGGGAGGGAATCAAGGGACAAGATTCAGGGGGAGGACATTTCTGGGGAGGAAATGAGCCAGATGCTAGAAAACTAGGGAAAGTAAAAAATAGCACAAGAAGGTGGGCTGATCCTTAAAACATCTTAGAAAAACACATAGAAAGGTTATTGCTAGGGGCACTAGGGAATGAATAGGGAGATACAGTCATGTTGATTATAAAACTCATTGGTTCCTAATCTGGGAACCAAATTAGCTGAGGCCACAGCTAAATCCAGGGTGGAAGTTACAGGGAGTCTGTTTCCAGAGCCACCCCAGAAGGGTCTTCCCACCCACTAGAGCTGTCCAACAGGAACTGTGGTCAAGCAGAGGGAGGTATCTACCACAGACAAGGTCCCATTCCGTTCTAATCTATCCATTCCTCCTTCCGCAGATTTCAAACCAAAAGGGGCAGACAGATCTGCACCAACCCCAGTGAGCCCTGGGTCCAGGAGTACATGAATGACCTGGAACTGAACTGAGCTGCTCCAGGCACAGAGGCAGGTCTCCAGGGAAGGTCACCTGGGCCTGACGCTTCTCTGAGACCCGCCTTCTCCACCTTCACTACTTCTCTCAGTAGTCCCTGTTCCGTCTCTCAATTTAATCTTTATTATGTGCTGTTATTATATTTTGTGTTATTTTCATAATTTATGTTGGTTTTGCCAAAGGGCACATGTCCCCCATGGGGATGGTCCACCATCAGTTTCTCTGCTATTGCGGATACATGGGTAATGCAGTTGATTCCATGTGTTTTTGTAATAAAACTTAAAAATATATACAGTTTCTTTGTGTTTTAATTTGATCTGGTGTAAAGGGAATTGCCTGGTGTTATTAATAGGGACAAACTACCATTTCCAAACACCATAAGAATGAGCAATTACTGAGGACTTCAAATGGGCTAAATGCTCTAAAGACATGATCTCACTTAATACTTAAACCAAGGATTTTAACACCCTTATGAATTTGGGATTCTTACCTCCAACTTTACAGATGAGAAAACAGAGGCACAGAGATGACGTGACTTGCTAAGGCTTGTAGGTCTGTTTGGAGAGCACCATGAGGGGATGATCTGAAAGGATAGCTGTGATGCTAAGGGTTATCATCTCAACATCTGGTAGAGAAGTTGTAAATAGCAGCAGCAGTATGATATAGAGGCAAGACGAGGTAGTTCAGAGTCATAAAAATGGGCCTCCACTTATTATCAGCATATCACTAAGAAAGTCATCTTGCCTTACTGGACCTCAATTTTTACACCTGTAAAGTGGGGGCAATATTATCCATTTGCAAGGACTATTATGAGGTTATTAGAGGCCCGGTGCATAGATTCATGCACCAGTGGGGTCCCTCGGCCTGACCTGTGGTTATTGGGCCAAAACCGGCTCTCTGACATCCCCCGAGGGGTCCCAAATTGCGAGAGGGAGTTTCTCGGGTGACGCACCTTGGAATCGGGCTCCCTCCTCTCTGGTTCTGGGTGCGTCACCCAAGAACCGCAGTTGCCAAGTCACCGCAGCACTGCAGCTCCTGTGTAGAGCGTCTGCCCCCTGGTGGTCAGTGGGCGTCATAGCTACTGGTTGGAACGTCGGCCCCCTGGCGGTCATAGCTACCAGTTGGACGGTCGGGCAGTTGAACGGTTGGATAGTTGCTTAAGCTTTTATATATAGAGATTGTAAAGCACCCATCACAGGGTCTGACATCTGGAACATTCTCTTTCCCTCTCTGAGCCTAGCTTTTTCACTTACAATGGGCATTGTGTCTGTCTTCCTAGTGCCATGAAGTGGATTAGATTAGTTAGTGGATCAGCTCTCTAAACCCAAAGCAAAGGTGGAGTGTTATCATGAGGACAGAAGAAGTCAGATTTGGTTCTGGAGTATTGTGGGAGTAACCTTCAATAACCCTTCAGTCAGAACTATTCCATGAGTCAGAACAGGGCTCTGAGATTGAATTACGTGCACAATCAAGCTTTGATCTACAAAACACAGAATTGTAGTCTATTAAAGCTGGGAGGAACCTCTCAGACGGTCTCATCCAACCCTCTCGTATTATGAAAACTGAGGGCCAAGGACTGAGAAGAGAGTTGCTGAAGGTCACCCAGCATATGGGTGACAGAGTGGAACTCCAGCCAGTACCACGTCCCAGGTTAGTCCCTTCTTCTGTGCTCCTTGTGACATGCCTCTGTGGAGCCAAAAAGGACAACTCATTCTGAAAGTAGGGTAAAGAGGGCAACCTTGTAAAATATTTGAGAGTTCGTAGTCCAATGCAAAAGCGGAACTGGGACTCTGCCTCTCTGGGGACAAACATTTCCCTTCTTTGCCCTGCCCTCAGCCATCCACCATCCCAGAGCCCCACCAGAAACCTCCTTTAGGTTCCACAGGGACTGAGAGAAGGAGTTGGGGCAGAGCTGATCCAAAATGGTGTGAGAAGAGGCTAGCAGAAAAAGAGCCTGACTGGTCTTGGCTTCTGCTTTCCATCGGCCTAGATCTGAGCTATTCCATATATTAACCACTAGCCATAAGTGGCTATTTACATGTCAATTAAATTGATAATTCAGTTGCACTAGTCATATTGCAAGTACTCCCTGGCCACATGTGGCTAGTGGCTGACTCCCTGTTGGACAGCAAAAATATAGAACATTTTCATCATGGCAGAAAGTCCCATTGAATGGCACTGTTCTAGGGCCTAAAGGGAATGAATGGAGGAAGTTGGGGTGGCCTGAAGGGTTATGGTATATGTAGTCTTTGGCTAAAGATACTCAACTCTATTTTGAGGGAAGTGGTTGAGAGACAGAGTATGTGACCCCCAAGCCTAAGACAAGGTATAGATCACTAGGCAGGCCACCCAAATGTCCACATCCTAATCCCCAGAACCTGTGAATAGTACCTTATATGACAAAAAGGACTTTGCAGATGTGATCAAGTTAAGTATTTTGAGAGGGAGAGATTATCCTAGATTATCTGGTTGGGCCCTAACTGTAGTCATAAGTATCCTTAAATGAGGGGGCAGAGAGAGATTTGATGACAGAAGGCAAGAAGGCAATGTGACAGTTGAAGCAAGATGCTACGCTGCTGGCTTTGAAGATGGAGGAAGAGGCCAGGAGCCAAGAAATGCAAGAATGCAGCGGGAAAAGTCAAGGAAATGGTCTCTCCCCTCAAGCCCCAGAGGGAAAGCAGTCCTGTTGACACCTTGATTTCAGCTCAGTGAAACAGATTTTGGACTTCTGACCTTCAGAACTTAAAGAGAATCAAATGTGTGCTGTTTTAGGACATCAAGTTTGTAGTAAATTTTTACAGCAGCAATAGGAAGTTAATACAATCACCAACTAAAGAGTCACCGCCAGTGGCTCCCTCCAGCTCAGTGTGAAAGGTAGTGGAACATTCTAGAAAGTGAGACAAAACACCCTGAAAGAGAATCCCAGGGTGAAGTGGACACATTCCAAGATGATGGACGATAATGGGTGAGACATCTCAAGAGGAGGGTCTGCATCAGCAGCTGAAATTGAAGACTGAGGCTTCATGAAGGGCACAAAACCCATCAGCCAGGTGAAGGGGAAGCCTGCCCCTTCTTGAGACTCCTGTGACCCTCTGAGGGTGGGGGCGGGGAGACCTTGAATTCCTATCTGGAAGATTGTATCCTCTCGTTTGTCCCAGGAAGTCTAGAGCAGAGCTGTGGCCGGTCTCTGGCTTTATTATTAGAGAGGGGGCAGGGTTAGGGCCAGAATCTGGGTCTCTCCCTCACAGTGGAATCTTTTTCCTCGACACCTCCCTGCCCCTGAGCAAATTAGAAGGGAGGAACTCCATTCCCCAGAAGCTGCAGGAGACCTGGTTACCCTCGTGAAGAAATGCTTCATCCGGGAATTATAAGCAGAAACATGGAGTCCTCTGGGTGGGACAATGTGGGACTTCACCTGTTGCACAATATGAGACTTTGGTTTTTTTCCTTTGTCTTCTTTTCATAAAACTTCCTTTTCTTACCCTGAGACCAGGGAGCTGGTATCTCCTTACTTGACTTTTCAGTTGAGGTTTCTCTGGGTTTCTGGGAGGAGGCCAGAGCCAGAACAGGGGCAGAGACTACTGTTGGTGGAGCAGCTGCGGGAAGTCAGGCCTGTGCTTTTCACTTCTCTTGCAGTGTCTGCCTCCCAGGTCCTCTTTCCCTATTGGAGGGAGTCTGTTTCCTCATGCTCTGGTTTATGTAAACTCTTGTCCTCTCCCTAGCTCACCCTGACCCAGAATCTTCAGTAACACTCCCATGCCAGGCATCCTCCTCCCAGGAGGCCAGGAGCTGAGCAAGCAGAAGCAGGGACCAAGGATGCAGGTTGAGCTGGGGATGATGAAAGGAACCACAGTTCTTCCTCATGGCTGAGCTCAGCGGCCACGTGGCTGCCCTGAGCTCCTTTCCATACTCACCCTTCCCAGACCCACGGGACTTGTCCTCTCTCTCTTTTCTAGTTGTCTTCACCTGTGCTCCCTTCTTAACGCCTCTCTTATTGGGTTCCATGGAGCCTAAGCAGACAAAATGGAAAAAGATAGAGAAATTGAGGAAAAGTTGTGACTGCATTTTTCTCCTTTTTAAATAGTGCGGATGAAAAGGGGGCCACATACCAAAGCTGACAAGTGCAAGGGAGGCCTGCATGACGGGCCTTACAAACTCAGAGACGGAAAGTAACCACATAGGATGGTCTGAACATTAAAATTCCTAACTCAAAGTGGGTCATGGCTGGTGGTCACATCCTAGGCCTGTAGCTTCCTTGACAAAGATTAATCTTTACCTTTGAGTGAGCCTGTCTATTGACTTAGTGCAACTAAGATAACATACCTTGGAAATTCCAGAGTATTTATCTTTTCCAGGCCCCTCTAAGGTACAATTGCACAACCAGAGCATGAGACCACATTGTTATCTTATTGCCCAAATACCACCTCTCCGTGCTAGAGATGTTAACTATCCTGTACCCACCGTTTTGCTTTTTATCTAATCTCAGAGACTTCCCCGCTTTGCTTTCTCCTGCCCCCTTAATCTATTACCAATGAATTTTATGTAATCCTCCTTACAGCTCCTCCTTTTATTCTAATGTATAAAATAAGTTGCAAAACTGCCATTCTCAGGAGCATTTTCTCAATCTGTTGAGATTCTGCTTCCCGGCAATTGGCATCAGTTTGGCTCAAATGGAGTCATAAAAATTATCAACAGGAGGCTGGCCAGCATGGCTCAGTGGTTGAGTGTTGACCTATGGACCAGGAGGTCATGGTTGGATTCCCAGTCAGGCCATATGCTCGGGTTATGGGTTTGATCCCCAGTGTGGGGCAAGCAGGAGGCAGCTGATCAATGATTCTCTCATCAGTGATGTTTCTATTTCTCTCCCTCTCCTTTCTTCTCTGAAATCAATACAAATATATTTTTAAAATTATTTACAGGTGTAGACGTTTCTTACATTGACAATAGTTTCATTTTAGATATTGATAATTGTGTAACATATATTTATTTAAATAAAAGAGAACTTTTTTTTTTTAGGGAAAGACAGGCTTGATACTAACAGGGTGGTGGGGAATTCCTCCCCACCCCCAATAATTTTGCTATCATGCACTCAATGGTCTTGAAATTAATCATTTTTGAATAGGTAACAGTAGATATTGTGTAAAATTTCAAAACATATGCAACAAAAAATAAATCTCCCTCCTAGCTCTACACCCAAGTATCCAGTTCTCTTCTCTGGGAGCAATGAAGGCTGCTACCATTCTTT